TCTTTGGGCCCCCCTAATCTTGAGTAGTCTTTAGAAAAATTCACAATGTAGTGTTTAGGAGCAATCATGATAGTTTGAAGAAGGCTACCTGTTATGTATACAGGACTATGAAGATTCTTTTATTCACATGTGGTGGTGATATATCCATATGCATCTCAGATTTCCAGTAAGGGAGCGTATTATTCTTGGGAACTAGTCTAAGATTGCAGAAACAACTCCTAAAGGGTTTAAGAATGACCACAATCCTCACCGTTTTCCGGTCCAAGGGAAAGCAAGTTTTTGACCTTCCACCTCACTAATAAAAATATATAGCACTATAAACATATTTTATATACAATAATGTATTTTTAAAGCCCCATGAAACTTTAGGGAAAAGAAGGACAAAAGAAGGAGAAAACTGCATGTGGCTGTCATTGCTGAATTCAGCCCTTAAAAGCAATTGGGCATAACACTGATGGGTAGGTTACAGGAGCCTGAAAAGAATAAAAGTCTGCCTTTTGGCCTGGCTTTGGTGTCATGGTTGTTCACACAACGCTTGGGACTACTGAGTAGTTAACTATGGGGGCGTATGGTGCTTATGTACCTGGACATTTGGCTCATTAAGGACAAAATTTTGAAAAAAGATCCAAAGATTAGTCATTCATGTTCTGGCTTCATGAGGGGTCTCTCAGAAAAAAATATACCCAGAATACCTGTCTCTCTACAGCTAGAGAATAATAAAAAAATGTTTATAAATTCACTTGGAAGTCACTAGCCTTACTGTTGTAATTTCTGCCCTGAACATAGGGAACACTGCAAATAACCTTGTTTGCAAAAGCAGCAACGTTCAGATTTTAACAAGGACAATGTTAAGAACTCTGTTAGATATCAGACAGGATCTAGGACACGTTAAGTTTAGCCAAAATAATTTGCCAGAGCTAAAAGTCCAAGTTATTAGCATAAGTATTGTTGACCACATCTGTGGTCTTAGTACCTGTGGTGTGGTGCCACCAGAGCAAGCTCTGTTGTCATGTGCCATCCAAAGGCTTGCATGTTGCATCTGAGGGAGAACATCCCAACAGCTGCAGTTTGATGATAGTCCAGTGACAACCTGCAATTATATATGGTCTTTCAAACTTTCTCATTATAAATGAAGTACCCACCCAAGCAATCCCATGCCCCTGGGATGAGAAGCGCACAAGGAGAGGCTGAAATACACAGCAGTGATCCTAGGATTAGAGGGGATCACAGCATATTCCATCTCCTCTAAGGCACCATGTTACTACATGGACTGTCACAACATAGCTATGGCACTGTAGCTATGTCAGTTCAACCTTGTGGTGTAGATGCAGATGGAGGGGTTTTTCCTTAATTGTAGGGACTCCACCTACTGAAGCAATTAGTTAGCTTTGTAGACAGATGTTATACACAGAATGGTAAAGATAGGTCTCTCTTATGGGCATTGATTTCTCTGTCACTTATATTGGCAACTTTCACTCTGCCAGTCTTGCTTTGTGGTTTCCAGACAGGCATTTGGTTTGCATGGTGCAAATGCTTGCCTTTCAAAATATTTTTGTAGTGATCTTTGGTGTTTAACTACCTGTTAAACCTCATTGCAGGAGGAATAACAGGTAGTTCGAAAGAGGGCTTTATTTCGAACGCCCGTTTCACTGCCGTGTGTAGACGCGAGCAGTTATTCCGGGCTTGTAAATTTCAAAAAATAGCGCCCGGCCGGGAAGATGCAAATCAAGCGAGAGATATTTAAATCCCGGGCTTGATTTGCAATTCCTAATGCCTACATTTGCAGCCCTATTCCAAAATAGGCTGCAAGTGTAGACATACCCTTAGGTTGATGGAAGCATTCTTCTATTGACTGAACTGCAACTGCAACGGGTGTTAAGAAGGGTGTAGCGGTTTTTTCACACCCCTGAGAGATGTAGCTTGGTAGACCTAAATTTTGAGCATGGCTGTAAAAAGAAGCAGGCAGTAGGACATGCAGGGGGTTGTCAATATTATATATTTTGGTGAAATTAAACTCCCACCCTGAAAATAATTGAGGAAATAAATGTGATTTTAGCAGATTAATAATTCTTCATTGCAGTGTTTGATCCACATTTTACAAAAGTATGTTTACAAAAATTTGCACATGATCTTTAGAACTGTGAATGGGTATCAAAACTATTTAAGTTGAGTGGGTTAAATACAGTAAAAATCCAATGCTCCGGCACTCCTGATGGTCCAGCACCATCAGGAACCCAGAGGTGCTCTGGCTGCCGGACAATTGGAGCTACTCTGCCCCCGGCTTCCCCGATTCAGCTGCTGCTGAAACTGACTAA